CTCAGTCACTCGTGATTCGAGCTTCAATTAAGAAGTTCAAAGAACTTTTGCTAGTGACAAGGAAAATCGTACAGTTCAATTTGGACGGCAAAATTGAATTGTTGTTGTAAAATCATAGTTCCCCAATCGCAAAACGATGGGAAAAAATGAAAAATTGAAGAAAAAAATACGGTAACGATGTTCGTAAAATTCTGTGATACTTGTGCAGCAATCAGCTGTTCTTGCGTTTCAGTGGGTTCTAAATTGGCTCTTTTGTGCCAAATTGGTATTGGTGACTTCAAGAGCTAAGAATAGGTTGAAGTTTATTAAGGATGAGAATGCCACAATAAAGTAATTAGGAAATCAGTGAAGCGTACATGTCAGACAATCGCTTCGCATCAGAGGTGGATGCGCACTTATTAATAATGAGTCACCTATAGCTAGTATTTATTAGCAATCCGGGAGCAAGTTGACGTCACGTGTTTGATCTTATTTTTTTGATTTGCTCAAATATATACTTATTTATTGAAAATTGAAGGAACTGAGTTGCAAATTCCCATTTAGCCTCATAAATTCAGTGAGTTCACTGATCACGATTCAAAGAGGCACGCTGTTTTTTCAGATATTGATTGTCAAATGTTGGAACTGAACTATCTAATTTTGAACTGGTTTCAATTGAAGATGACTCACCCGATCCAAAGTTGGGTCTGAGTCGTGCATCGTATCCCTCTGTGATGATATCTGTGATGTTCCAGGGCATCCGATCCGGCTTAGTTCTCTTAGTCGCTGGAGGCACCACACTTTCAGCCTTCGAAGTCGGCGCACTTGTTGCTGATGAATCGGAGGAGGATGATGTCATTTTAATCAATGGCAGAGAAGGAGCAGTCGTTTTGCCAGCAGCACCTGAATTGTCCTGGGTTTGATATGTTACTGTTTGCTGAGCGTCACTCGATGTAATTCTGAAACTTCTAAAACAAAAACAATATAATTGAACAGTTCAACAAATTTTCATAGAATAGGCCTTCAAAAGACCCCCAGACACATACTGGGAGAAACCTTAATCAAAAAGAGCTGTCGTTCAAAAAGGATTTTCTAGGTTATCAATCTGGCATACTTTACAGTAAAATGTGTCATGATACAATAAAACGTTAAACTTTTTTCAAATAACCCCAAACTAATTTACAAGTTGGACTAATTCTCAATAAAATTTTAGCATTTAACCAAAAACCGTCCTTGCACTTTTATCTTACTGAACCAGAGAAATTGTCACCGCGGTCGGTCTATTTTTACGTCAAATCTGAACTATGTTAGCCTTACATTTTCCATTTTTTTCAGCTTACTGCTTACATGTCGCACAGTATAGGTTCTGAATAAGGTCTTTCGCCCTGCTTTCCTTCGGTCTAACTCGAAGAAACAACCTAATTTATGGTATACGAGTAAATTTACAAGGTAAAGTATATGAAAAGCAAAGATGCTTGGAATACACTAATTAGATCGCATACCAATTTTTCTTGATGACGCAAATTCTCTTACAAATCTTTGCTTAAAAAAGAAAGAAATCCTTGAATAATTTTGTACAATGACTCAAAATAGGTGATTTTAAAATTTGAAAGCTACGTGAAACTTTAGAAAACATTGTAGAGTAAACTATTTTGGCAACAGAAACGCCCCAAGAACTAAAGGACAATTTTTACATTTCATTTAAAAACTACATTTAATTTGCTTCAGTTCAGGTGAATTGGTTGTTGAACCAGATTACACGCCTCTTACGCGTTTCAACAGGAATATAGGGCTCCAATTTATCCCAGATATGCCAAACTGGTAGTTTTCAAAACATCATGCTTTTAAGAAAAATATATATTATTTTTAATATTTGAGGCTCTCATTTTTTTGATACTATTAATGTCTGCAGAGTGCTGAACTACCTAAATTAATGCCAGGTAACAGAGGTAACAGAAAATGCGGGCTCAGAAAAACCAACAGTGCTAAAAAAAATTTTGGTATTGACCAAAAATTTTTCAGGACAAGGCCCGCACTGAAGTTTCTCGGATAAAAATAGATTATATTGAGAAATTCTTGTGGAAAAAGTTGCCATTATAATTGATTATGTGTAACCAATTTAAGCAACACTTTCTATTATAATAGAAAAAAAAAATTGATTATTTTCATCAAGAATATATTGCCTTATAATTCCACTAAAATGTTTTTTATCTCCACATAATCTCAACAAAATATATTTTTTTTTCGCCCTGAAATCGCCATAAAATCGCAATAAAAATCTATTGTATTCGCCATAAAACTGCCAAAAAATTGCAACAAAAACTATTGCTATTGCCATAAAATTGCAGTAAAAGCATATGAAATAAAAATCCATTATAATTTATTATAATTGATTATAATTCATTTCATTTTTAGGACTAAAATTGATTATTTTTGCAAAATATTGCAAATTTTGCGGGAATGCCTCAACCTCATCCCTTCAGCCCTTCAAGTTTTTTAACTGCACTAAACAGAAAATAAGATAGTTTAAATAAATTGTAAATTTCATGAATAACCCCTCGAAAAAATCCATTATAATCGATTAAAATTGATTATAATAGATTTTATTGACAAAAAAATATTAGGATTATAATCCATTTTTATTGGATTATAATCGATTATTTTGTCATTTTATTGCGGAACATATTATGACAAAATAATCGATTATGATCCATGGGCGCTCGGTGCGGGAATCTATTATAATCTATTATAAATCCAATATAATCGACATAAAATTAAAATTTTCTAATGAATTTTTTTCTCCATGTAATCGATTATTCTACTCTGCGACCACAAAATCACCAGATAATTGATTATTAAAAGAACAATTTTTTGTTCGACCATAAAATCGCCAGATAATAGATAATAATTGGAGAAACTTCGGTGCGGGGGGAGTTTTACAAAATTTTCACACTCAAAGTCTTGTAAACTGATGTTGATTTTTCGCAATTTCCCTTTGTAATTCTTATCAAGTTTAATTAGGCAAACGTGAGGACGACTGAAAATTGAACCTAATGATTCAGTTTTATCAATTTGAATCAATTGAATCTATCAAAAAAGTCAGTCATGAAATTTTTTTATGAGAACTCAAAAGTTTTGAAGTGATATTGAATTGTTTTTTGAAATTTCAGCAATCATTATCAAGTACCAACGATAATCCCTCTTCTATAATAGAAAAGCAAAGCTAAGAGCCAGAGTTTATTTGATTTCACTATTTAACTATATCCCCCTGAGGTACCTAGTAATGAATATCCCCCTTTCGCAAAAGGGGGATATTGTTGAAGAGGTCCAAATTCTCATTAGTATGACTGCGTGAAAACGCCATGTTGAAATATTTTGTGCCTAATTTTTGCGTTTTATAAAAAAAATGGATATAAATTGCTCAAAGTTTCAAAACAACATGAAGTTTTTGAAAACTTTTTGATTTTGATGCACTGAGGAAGTTTCTGAAAAAAAACTGCAGTGTCTTGCAAATTTATATTTTTGGGTCTATAATTAAACTGGTGAAACCTGGTAAGACCTCAAAACTTTTTTTACAAAGCTAATAATGCTGCTACCGTCAAGACTAACCCTTGATTTTTCTGAATTACTTGTCTCAAAAATCATTTTCTTCAAAAATTTAAGCGTCCAAAAAACGTTTAAATTTTTTGCTTGTGATTCTCATTCAAACCACACAAAAAATCAACGTGATTTTTCCGCAGCGGTTGTATGCAAATGTCAAAAAAACTCTCGTTCTTAAGTTTTCAGCCAAAAACTAGACTGATCAGGAACTTAAAATTGCAGAGAAAATTGGTGCTTTGTTGAGGTATGCTTTGGTAGTTCTCAAGTTGTAATTCTGTCATATGTCATCATATACGACATTTGTGGTTCTTTGATGTTTCTGGTTTACTTATTTTGAGGCCAAACTGTGCTTTTTGTGTATTGTAAGCGGATTCCGCAACAAGGACGCTCCCTTTGTTCTTCTTTTGTTCTTTCATTTCTTATGATCGTTCCGACAAAATTTAACATGTTTAAAGACTTGTTTCTGGAATCCAAGAACACACAGACACAAAATTGTGCGACTTTTCAGCGCATAGTTTGGTCCCGTAATGCTGGTCTTAAAAATTTTTTTCTTTAAAAATTAAACGTTCAAAAAACATTTAACTATCTTTTCTGTGGTTTCCATTCACCCCACAGAAAAAATCAAATCTCATAAGGCACAATATAAGCCTGTATCGCATTTTTCTGTACAAAACAGCTTCTGCCAAATTAAAATGGAAGTTTTAGAATCAAAAGAATTAAGTGGTAGATATAATTAAAAAATTACAAAAAACGTGCATTAATTGGTATCACTGATGCCCGCAAGCACAAAAATGTATCCATATCGTTTATATGCAAAAGTCAAAGAAAATGTTGGTTTTAAAGTTTTCAGGTAAAAACAAGACTGAGCAGGAACTTAAAATTGCTGAGAAATTTGCTGTTTAGTTGAGGTATGCTTTGGTAAAACTCAAGCTGTTATTTTGTCATATGTCATCATATACGACGTCGAAAATTACGTAAAATATACTTATTTTTCGACAGTTGTTTGGTTGATTTGAGTCCTTACTTAGCTTTTTTGCACTCTGTCTTAATTTTGTCTTCTTAGGGAGTACTGCATTCCATTTTTACCTCAAAACTTCAAGGCAAAAAGATGCACTCCCAAACGACGAAAAAAAAGTTTTTCTAGAGACATCGTTGTTAATATTTCGCATTTATGAATAAAATATTCGGCTGAGAAACAGCATCACAAACTGTCGATTATGATTCCAACCAGTGCGGATTTAGGGGCGTACGCCCCCTCAGGGATTCGATCCCCTGCCGACCCAAAAGCTCCCCCTTTGATAGTTTTTAAAAAATCAATTTTTGACTAATCGAGCCTGAAATTTTTCAAAAAACGCCTTCGGTGCCCATATATACTAATTTTGAAGGGGAGCGCGCGCCAAAAAAAAGTGATTTTTTTTGTCAAATTTTTCCAAAAAGTGCCCAAAAACGGCTTTTGTGACCTGTTTTTTCAAAAAATTGCCTGCGGCGCAAAGTTTTTTGTCCAAATAGGGTCTTTATAGTGTTCTGGGCCCGCCCGAAAACTCAATTTGCTCAACCTTGGAAAAATTGACAAAATTTTTTGAAAATTCGCCCCCCTCGAGAAAATTCTAGATCCACCCTTGGTTCGAACCACTTCTTGACAAGGAAAGAAATATCTAGGGGTGTCAAGTGAACTGCCATTCCAACGCCCTATTTTTAGCGATTTGCTTTTGAAGAAAAATCAAAAAAATTGCCCCTGAGAAAACTGGTCTGAGAAAGTGGTCTTATTTAGACTGATGTTTCAATTCTAAAATTGGTTTCAGACTAGTTTTCATGACCAGTTTAATTGATATTTTACCTTAACTACCTAGTTAGACAATTTTTGATTAGTTCAAGAAAAGCGGCTCATTTTTTGTCTCTTCAACTAAATGATTTAAAAAACCGATGTTTTTAATTTTTTCCTGCATGTAATAAATTTGCCAACAAAACTGGTAGAAGCTTCTCATTAAGTCAACTATGATTTTGTATGAATGTGGTCAACGCAAAACAGTAATAGACGTGAAATGTTTAATTCCAAAATCCTTTTGGTAGTTTTTGTTGTGACTGAATATTTGTTTCCAATATTTCCAATAAGCTCAAAACTAAATACAATTCTTCAGTGACCTTTTTTTTGTGTGCTTATGGTATTTTGGCCAATTACCTTAGTTTATGCAGTAGCCATTTGAGTTCCTATCAGATATTTTGCAAAGTTCTTAACCAGACCTGGTGAATTTGAAAATTTCAAATTCTACCAAATTTTTGCAAATTTTTTGGGTTTCAGTTTCAAATGTGAATTTAATTGATTGGATGACGATGACGGTTTCGAAGTCAATTTAAAAATTGTTTTAAAAATTATGCCTGATGATCTTTCGAAGCTTAATTTCATCCCATCAAGGTACCAAAAAGTAGCAGATTTTTAGGAAAAAATGACCAAACTTTATTCAAATGTCTTGAGTTTTTTTAGAAGTTAAGCAGCAACATTTTGATTGACACTTTTTTGGAAGAGGTTTTAAAGTCGTTCTTTGGTTTCTATTGGTTATCTTACGCCTTCTCATAAACACAATTGTACTCACGGGATATTTGCGATTAGGATGTAGAGAAATAACAAAAGCATGGTAAAATAGGAATGGGCAGTAAGAAGCAGACAAACTCGAATCGCTCGTACTGACACTTGACTTGATTGGCGAAGAGAAAGAAGACGAGCTTCGAAGGGGCATATTAGGCTTATAGGCTCAGAGTACCACAAACACTGACTCGGGATACAAGCTGTCCTCGGATATACTTGCGACTACTCATTCGTCGACGAGATTTCGACCAGAGCACTTTTCTTTCATCACTTATGCGACTGTTTTTAAAGTGCGAATAAATCTGTAATAACTCGGCAAATGAAATTTAAAATTTGGGGAACAACAACTATATGAAATTTTTGTTCTGAATGTTTTTTAAAGAGTCCGTTGTCCTAGTATATAAGTGTTTAAAATCGGTACTCAAATAACCGTTGCTAAAATTGATGAAAAATGAAGGCGGAACATGAATGAAAGACTGTTAATTGTAATCGGTAATCGACGCAGCCTTTTAACGACTCAGACTCTTGACTCTTTTTTTTTGCATTATCGCGCGATCAACCGCGACATCAAAAACAGAGAGATTTTTTGCATTATGGCGTTAACACCCACCGCAAAACATCAGATATAAATAGATGGAAATTTAGTGTTTGTTATGATAATAGAATAAGAAGGGTAACTAAAAAAAGAGTTGGCGGAGGGGTGTCAGGAGGAGGGATGATGGACTAGATGGTGTGTGGGTGTCGGTTGGTGATGATGTTGATGGTAGATGCTGTGATGGTGCAGATGATGTATGAAGGAACACCTTTCCGGCCCCAATCAGATGCAGATGCAGTTTATACGACACCTTAATCGTGTACCATCAGCCATAAAACACGCTTAATGATGTCGAATAACTGAGACTGTATTTCTAATGAGATTCAACTCAACACTCCATATACAAACACACTCTGTGATCCATGTCATAACTAACTGCTGTTATAGTCCAAATAAATTCTTTTCTAGTCCAAATTATAACGCAACTAGGTTTGCAATAAATTTTTGTAACCTCTCTTCATATTTTCTCAAAGGCCAATCAGGAAGTAAATAAGAACGCGACAGTTTTCCTGTAACGAGGAGATAACTTTCTGAACAGCTTTTTCAGTCAGCTTCTGAGATTTCAATAGCAGCCATCACAATCCAAAAATAATGGGAAAAACAACAAGATAGAAAAAACTTGGAATTTAGGAATTGAGTATTTGGAATTTAATAAGCAGAAATTTTCGATTGGTCCGCAAAAGAAGTCGTGTAACTTTTGGAGCCAGCTGAGGAAAAGAGGGAACGATATTTTGACTGGGATTAGGATTGAAGGGATATATTTGGTGCTTATGGCTGTGATGGGATTGGACGAATAACGCAAATCGACAGGAGCAGCTCCTTGAGTGGTGGTGGTGTCGACCTTTTCTTCATTTGCTACACTGACCGAGCGAGTCCCTACAGCGCGCAAAAGCCTCTCTTCTACTACTAGAAGTGTTTTTCAAAATAATCCCAGCTCCAAAAAATCTTCTTGTTTCCCCACCGCATATCCTGTTACAAATGGTGTAGTTACTACAACCACCATCTATTTAGTTTCTATCTTTCTCTCCTTTTTATTTTTGTCTATCTTACTATTTTGTGCCGCTATACCAGCAAAGTATCCAGTTTAGAGCTATTTGGCGCTTTTAATTGAAGTTTTGTGGCCGACCATTTTTGTTATTTCTAATTTTTGATTCGCCGCAATTTTGTTTTGTTTGCGGCCGCGGCGGTGTGCAACTGGTCCCCGTGTTATAGCAGCCTGCGTTACTCTTGGTGTCCGGTGTTAGTTTTGCCACAAATGCACAACTGAGACGGCAATTCAACCGCTTTATGGCCCGATATTTATCCCATATTTATTCCTTTCTTTGTCGTACTCTCTTTCTTCCCCCTCTCCCACCTTCGTTTCGCTCGCCCCAATAGTTATTGCCTTCTCTTGCACTGGACTGCAGATCTCTTTTTCATTTTTAATTAAAACAACCCCCTCCCTTTTTTTTCTATTTTTTTTGCATAACTCAGCTTTAAAAGCTTATTGTTCCGACTTTATAAAGCAAAGCTCGAAATATATATTTTTGATCAACAGTTTTTCGCATTTCGCATGTTTCTTTCACAAGGAATCAAATTTTTCATCTCAAAAAAACTGCTTTAAAATCCGAACTTCTAGTATCTATATTGATGTGAACAAATAACAGGTATGTACTTCACCTCATATTTTTCGAATTAATTAGGCATAATCCCCTTGGGATGTGGTTGCTTATAATTAAAATTTGATCAACTCATTTCATATTCCATCCCCTATTTTAAAATGAACCCACCATGAAGAAAAATGAAGACCATGTTTAAATCGTATGGGTATGGTATGCTTATGTACTTAAAAAATAATTGAATTGATTCAGGCTTAGCATTTTTTTCACACAGATTTGATAAAAGTTAACTATCAGTGATCTAGTTTATTTTGAAATAGATATCTGATCCAGACGAAAGACAGGAATTTCTTGGCCATCAAAAATGAGGACACAGTTTTTTTTGATCACAATTCTTATGCAATTGGAACTGATTGTAATTCTACCAACGGATGCCTTTTTCTCCAGTTGGTAAGTGACTTTCATTATGCTATTATCTTCAGTCGTTTTGTGCCTCAATTAGGCGCCAAAAGCGAAACTATTTTTGAAACTTCAATAAACTGGAGTATTACGCAAAATGATTTCACAGTCAGTAGTATTCTTCAGAAGCATTTGTGCTCGTTAGTGCGCTTTCTGCTTGAAACAAAAAGTTTTGCCTTTAGTATTACGAAAGGACTTTAAACAGAAGCTCTCACCATCAAAAAATATTTTCAAGTAATTTCTAAAAACGCGAACAACGTATTTGATTGCATCTTTAGTTCATAGTAGGCAGAAAACATCATAACACCGCTCAAATTGATCTTGTTTGATGTTAAAATGTGTCCATAATTTACATTATTTTTGAATCTAGCGAGGTTCCTATAATAAATAAAAACAGTTTTTTGTTTTACTAGAAGTACATGACACTTTCTAAATCTGGCCACTCTGGCTGGATATCAATGTTAGGCGCCAAAATCGAAACTAATTTTAAAACTTCAATTAACTGGAGTATTCCGCGAAATGATTTTACAGTCAGGTTTTTGAACACTAGTATCCACCCACCTTCTTGTCTTTTTTCAGGTTCGCCAGGACTCCTCGGACTCTGGTGCGACGTGAGGTGCCTTCTTTGCAGGATGTGATGGACGAAGCGGTGCTGCGGAGGGCGGAGATAGACGAAGAGCGAGAGAGAGTGAGGAGGGAGAGGAGGAATGCGATGGGGTCATATGCAGGGTACGGTGACGAGGAGAACGAGATGGACGCACCCCATCTGACCAGGGAGGAGTTGGAGGAGAGCAAAAGGAAGAGTCTGGTGATGACTCAGCTGCTGGACAGCATTTTCAACAACTACGACATGTACATCAGGCCCGGATTCCAAGAGTGTAAGAAACAAGTGCAATTCCTCAGTTTAAATAGAATTCATCGTCCAATTGCTTCAATTATGAGTAATATATACTTTTCATGTATTCATTAAGAGGCCAAACTGGGTTCTAGAAGTTCGTAAAAAGTTGAAAAGTCGCACATCATATAAACCGCTTTGCTCGATTGCCGAGCTGTTTCATAGAGAGAGCTTTTTTAAATTCAGCGAACTATGTGCCAAGCTCTTTGGCTAATAAATTACCCGGTGTGAACGTCGAACACCGAAAATGCTAGTCATACAATTACAAATTTGGAGCTTATGAAAAAACGCTAGTCATTCAATTCTCATAAAACGTTTTGAGAAATCTAGACGGTAAAATTTTGAAAGTGCCCAAATTTTTTTTCCCATTTTTTGTTCTCGAAATCAAATCTGTACAAAAAAAAACACTTTCGAAAAAAGGCATTTTAAAATTGTACATATTTTTGTCTATAACATAGAGCAGTTGCTCGAAACGTACAAAACAAATTATCCAAGATTGTATGCATGTATGCAGCGGAAATCTAGTCTTTGCTAATTTGATGGGAACCAATTAAAAAAAAAGAAAAAAAGTACACAAATTTATAACGGCTAAAAACAACCGGTTCCTTGCGCCTGGTAGTGAAAAACCAGGCAATTTTCTAAGTAAATTTTTTAAAGATAGATTTTACTGTCTGATTTAGCCTCTAAAAGCTGTTTTTTGCAAGGTTTTAAATGTCTTTCTGACCATTCGGAGAAAATTATGCCCTAAAGTGTTTTTTCTTACCAATTTTGATTTTGATTGTCTTTTTGTCTTACAGGAAGTTTGAATCCTATCCAATACAGTATCGTTACTTTTTTCAGAGACAAGAAAAACTGGTTTGTAATGATTTTTGAATTATAAACCAAAAACAGATTTTTTCTTTTGATTATTTTTTAGAAGAAAAGGTTTTTCACAGCCCTAATCGGAAAATTCTGTGCAATCAAAGATTTTCATGAAATAGAAAATTATTTTGGTTGGGAAGCAGGGAGCTAAAAGCTGGTTATTTTTAAAAAGCTTATTTCTTAGAATTATTCAATTAGCTACTGACTTGAGCTGGTTTTACTCACGATATAAAACTTATCAAAAGAACAGAAACTGAAAGTTATAAGGAAAAGTTTTTTAATACTTTCGTACATAAAAAGCATTTAAAAATATTTGTAAATTATGATTTTTTTGATAGTCACAAATTTTGCTTATATGAACCATAAAAATACACAGAAATTTAACTTTTTGGTTTTATGAACCAGCCACCCGCACTGATGTTTCATGGGAAATAATCGATTATAGTAGACTTTATCGGCAAAAAACGTAGGCCATATAATCGTTTCTCATGACGCATTGGAAATAATTTTCAGCTGAGTATAAATGATTGTTTTTAATACTTAAAAATGCGTTATAATCAATTATTTTGACAACATAATGGATTTTTCAGGCCACAAAAATCCATGAAAATTGATTTTTTTCTGCAGATTATTATTTACAGGTAAATAAATTCTTGAAATATTTGGATAAGAAATTTGCAAAATTACATCAAAATGACACCTAATTATTACAAAATCAACGCTCGGCAAGCTTAAAACCCAAACTACAAAAACTCAAAAAAGTTTGTCTCCCCTAAAACTACCCCCACCCCTAATTTCTAAAATATCCCTCCGCATTTTACCCCACCACCTCCCCTATCCACGGAGAGAGGGACAGTAGGTGGGGGTAGTGGGCAAATGGTATTTTTTTTACTATGGTGATGGTATAAAATCAACAGTTAAATAAAATGTTAAACCGCCAATTTGAAAAACTAGAGAAAAGTGTAAAATCATATGGGAAAAATAAAAAATTTATGAAATGTAATCCGTAGTAACTTCACTAAACCGGAAATGAGCTAACTTGCAAGTTTTGCAAAATTTACCTATAAATTCTCAAAAAATCCATTATAATCGATTATAATTGATCATAATGGATTATATTGTTACAAAAAGTATTCGGAGTATAATCCATCCTTGATGGTTTCAAACGGTTACTTTTGTAATTTCATGTATAGAGACTATAAAATGACAAAATAATTGGCTATCATCCAAGAAACTCCAATGCGAGCAAGAACCTTTCATTTTATTATAAAAAAGGAACGAGCTTCGGTCCAAACAAATTTATAATTCCGAGCCACCATCATTATAGGGTTATGAAAAAAAATAGTTTATGAATTTTTAGCCTATTTTTGTAAGGTTTTTTGTTTCAAAAGCTTATGTATTTTTTTATTTCTGAATTTTATATATTCTTACGACTCTTACTCACATAGCGGTTTCAATTGAACATGAAATTACCAATGGTAGTTTCACAAAAAATCAGCTTCTTTTCTGGATTTTTCATGGAGATAAGACCATTTCCAGAGACAGCCACTCAACCAAACTGTTGGGCCTTTTTAACAAAAAACCTATAAACATTGAAGAAAAAACATTTTTGCATCTTTTTGAAAAAATATCACTATTAATTTTATAAAGAGGGAGGAATAAAAACAGTTAGAGTTTTACTTTGCTTCTCACCTCAGAAACAATAAAGAGCTTTGTTATTGAACCAGGAACGGATCTACGAGGGGGAAGATTTTCAAAAGTTTTTGAAGCAACAGAACAAAAACTCGTAGGCCAGTTTTTGGACACTTGTTGGAAAGTTTTGATCAAAACATCGCGTTTTTTTGGCGCGCGCTCGCCTTTAAAATTAGTATGTATTAGCGCCGATTGCGCTTGTAGAAAAACTGTAGGGTTGTTCGGCCGCAAATCGTTGACAGTTGGCATAAAATAGCACCAAAGGGCGACACTTTGATTGGTGAGTACCAAAAGGCGACACTTTGATTTTACATATCGACTTGATCTCCTCAATAAAGTAATTGCAGCCCAGAAGAGAGCATAATTCGTAACGATACGTAGCTGCATACCAGCAGCAGAAAAAAAAACTGTAACAGAGTGGCTGGTATATGTCGAAGAAGTATAGTAATAAATGCCGCAAACACGATGCATTTTGTGGTTGAACCCGAGAAAAGCAAAAACGAAAAACAAAATCCAGAAACTTGACTCGTTTTTGTCACCACAACAGACAATTCACAAAAAATGTCAACCCCGCACTCAGTGAAAAGAGAAAATAATCGATTATATTACAATTATAATTGTTTTTTATATCATAATTCTAATTTTTTATCAGCGCCAAATTTAAATGTTTAAACTAATTGTAATCCATTATAATGATAACCTTTTTTGTGACATTACAATAATTTATAATCAACTATAGTAATAAATTATTTTTCCGAAAATCACTTATAATCTCTTATGTTATCTTATAAAATCTTATAATACCATATAATCACTTAGAATTTTTTATAATCTATTATAATAGGTTTTAATACTTTTTTCTGTCGAAAATCTCTAAAAATGAGATGCCTTGCCAGTCTTTGGTTTATCTGAACACAAAGTTTTACTACGAAACAAAAGTTTGATAGAAATCCCTCTATATTAGTTGAAAGAATCCCGCGGTAGGCGAAACATAACTCTGCTATATAAATCATGAAACTGAAATAGTGTGCTGATGTTTTGGTGGTCAAAACAAACTTAAAATGTGCATCATGAAACAATTATAATCAAGAAGAAATGGAAAAAAAAGAATGTTATAAATTTGAATTGATTTGAAAACTGTTGAAACAATTTTCCCATTTTTCACCTAAGCCAAAGTCTTCAAAAAGTATAAAATATAAGCAATTCCGGTGGAAGTTCGGCAACAAAATGGGCAAACAAAAGGATTATAATCAATTACAATCGATTATAATGGATTTTTCTGCAAAACAAATAAAACAGAAAATTAGATAAAAATAATCTATTATAATCGATTATAGTGTATTATAATTGATTATATTTGATTTCAAAAAAAAGAGATTATAACCGATTATGATTTAATTAAAATCAATTTTTTCTCAATTTTTCTCAATTTCCTTTAGTCGTACCGACAAAAAATTTATATGTTAAAAGAATTGTCTCTGGAACCCAGAAACATACAGATACAAGGTTGTCCGCCTATCCAGCGCACAGTTTGGCCTCGTAATGAGTTTTTAATAAAAGTGAGAAAAAAGTTAATTTTAATCAATTAATAATCGATTCTAATCTCTTTTTTGAGATCCAATTATAATCAATTATAATACATTTTAATACATTATAATCAATTGTTGATCCATCAATTTATTGATCTGCGTTTGAATTTATCATGAAAACGGCAATGCTAGGATGTCAGGTCATTGTTTGAAAATGATGATTCCAATCGGTCATTGAAAGATCCTTTGAAAGAAAAGATATCTTAGACTTCAGTGAAACTTTTAAGGCGCGCGCAAGCGCTTGCAAGAGCAAATAAAATAAGCAACCCTATCCGAGAATTGACGCGACAAGTAGCAGACTTTTTAGCAAGCAACCAGAATTGGAGCCTGTAAAAACATACCAAACTTTTTTGAACGACCTCGCTTACAGTCTAGTCTCAACGCAGTTTTTTTGGCACAGCAGTAGTTTCAGCACACCAATGAGTAAAACTGACCTAAGCAGAAAAACACTCAAGCTTCCATGGTTGGAGTAACCGTTTAAGGGCCGGAGTGGTCCAGTATTTTCCTAGCAACCTTTTAAAACGTTTTGGTAGACGACCTCACTACAATGGGCAGAAGCGGATATAGGGGGGACGCCCTCTCCCTTCAGGTATTCGACCCCCTGCCGACTCAAAGGGTCCCCACATTGTACTATTTTGAGATATCCATTTTGGTGATGGACCCTAAAATTTTTCTCAAGGCAATGTATACTAATTTTGAGGGGAGAGCGCGCGCCGAAAAAACGCAATTTTTTGGTCAAAATTTTTCCAAAAAGTGCCTAAAAACGCCGTTTGCTCACGAGATGTGTGAGAATGGATGAGTCTGTCTCGTGAATTGATGAGCCTATCATCACATTGGATTT